CTCGGGTCGGCCATGTTGGCTGCGTGCAAGGCAAACGCCCTACTGCTGTGCTATCACTCCAGATCCTTGGCACCACATGTGATCAGTTTCCAGCAGGACCAGGAGTGATCCTGAACTGCGTGTGGGCCCAAACCCCAAATGTGTGTGTGTGTGTGTGTGTGTGCATGTGCAGAAAATTTTGTTTCCTATCTTTTGCCACAATAAAAGAGTGGGGGACCAGAGAGAGAGGACAGCAGGTGGGGCGCTTGTCTTGTTTGTGGCCGACTCAGGTTTGATCTTCACATCACATATGGTGCCTTGAACCTGCCAGGAGTGAGCACTGAGCACAGCTGAGCAAAAACGAAGAAGAAGAAGAAGAAGAAGAAGAAGAAGAAGAAGAAGAGGAGGAGGAAGAGGAGGAGGAGGAGGAGGAGGAGGAGGAGGAGGAGGAGGAGGAGGAGGAGGAGGAGGAGGAGGAGGAGGAGGAGGAGGAGGAGAAGAAGAAGAAGAAGAAGAAGAAGAAGAAGAAGAAGAATCTAGCAGATGACTCGTCCGTGTGACCAGGACTAAGGGCCACCCAGGCTGTGAGTCAGGGTGTCCTCCTGCTGTTTGGTGACTGTGCCCTCCAGGTGGGCACCAGGAGCCCGTCCACTCCAGTGCAGCCCTGGGCAGGCCTGGTGTGTCCCAGATGGGCAGAGGCTCCTCAGCAGAACGGGGCAGCCAAGGCCCCATGGGATGATGTAAGTGCCGAGAGACCAGGAGATTCACCACAGGCAGGAGCCGTTTCCCAGGGCACAGGCCTCTTCCACCCACCTGCTCCATACGGCCACTGAGTCAAACCTGCCGCGTTTCCGGCCTGACTCTCCTGGATGACTCAGGAGTCAGTGATGCACGAACAAACCAGCTTCCGTTCATCTTGACTTGAAAGCAGTTAGCTAAAAGCCACTTGCTTCGCAGCTGCTTGTGGAGCGTAATAAGCTGTTTACATTCGCCGTGGAATCTATTCTGGGGTCACCCCAGCAGTACAGACCTGACGGTTCGGGGCTCAGTCCAGGGATGATAAAGCGGGGCCTGTGGGATCAAGCTTGGAGCCTCCCGTGCCCTGGTTCTTTGCACACTCCCTCTCCCCCTCCCGCTGCCGTCATTCTGGTTTGTCTTCTTTTTTTTTTTCTTTTTGTTTTTTTGGGTCACACCTGGTGATGCACAAGGGTTACTCCTGTCTCATGAACTCGGGAATTACTCCTGGCGGTGCTCGGGGGACCATATGGGATGCTGGGAATCGAACCCGGGTTGGCTGCGAGCAAGGCAAACACCCTACCCGCTGTGCCCCTGGTTTGCCTTCTTTCCTTTTGGGGTCTCCCTCGTGGTCCTTGGGTGATTGGGTGACTGTGGTGCTGGGGATTGAACCTAAGACTTCAGCAAGGAACCCACGTGCTGCAGCCCTGGAACCATGACCCTGGCTTCTGTTTGAGCTATTGTTGGCGTGGGGCGGGGGGGCAGTAGAACTTACACCTGGTTGTCCTGGAGTCACTCCCAGCAGTGCCTGGGGGGACTAGGTCGTGCCACTGGCGGGGCAGGGATCAAACCTGGTCCCCTGCGTTCAAAGCATCCACACTAACCCTTTGAGCCATCTCCTTGGGCCCCACTCTGCATCATTTTAAATGGTGCTGGTTTGCATATGAGACGCCTCCCCCCCAATCCTTGTGCCTTGGAAATAGAGAGAATATAGGGGAGGAAGGGGGACATGCCTTGCACGCAGAAGAGCCTAGAGTGACCCCCAGCAGCACTGTACTGCTGTAAGCTACTGAGCCATCCAGTCTCCTGACCAAGGTGTTTCAGGCACCCTAAGCACTGGTTGGGGTGTCCCCAAAATAGCTAACATGGAGGGGCCGGAGATATAGTACAGCGGGTAGGGCGTTTGCCTTGCACACGCCCAGGTTCAATCCCTGCCACCCCATATGGTCCCCAGAGCCCCTCCAGCAGTGATTCCTGAGCACAGAGTCAGGAGTTAAGCCCTGAGCAGCATCAGGTTGGTGCAAAAACAAAACAAAACCAAAAATAGACTCCTGTTTTGTTTTGGTTTTTTTTTTGGCTTTTTGGGTCACACCTGGCAATGCACAGGAGTTACTCTTGGCTCATGCACTCAGGAATTACTCCTGGTGGTGCTCGGGGGACTATATGGGATGCTGGGAATCGAACCCGGGTCGGCTGTGTGCAAGGCAAGTGCCCTACCCGCTGTGCTATCTCTGCCTTCTACTTTAAACCCCACCAAATGTGGTGTGCAACTCTTGTATTATTAGTGGTGTGAAGTATGAGATACTGTGAATGCCTGGTGGTTCTGGAGGTTTTGGGCTGCCGGGAATGGGTCTTTGGGGCAGGGGGGTCCCTCTGGGTTGCCCCGAATGAAACAGCCTAGAGCGGGATCCGGTGGCGTGGCTATGAAGAGTTGTTCTATGACAGATTTATAACGTGTCTCTGGATCATGGCTGTTGAGATTATCTGGCGCCAGCTAGAGGTGGCTTGTGGGCGTGACGGCTAAGTTGCAGGAAACGGGGGAGAGGAATGGGGGGGCGGGTGATCACCCATTCCCGGTTCCGTTAAATCTGGAGTTTTCAGGGTCCAGACATTCTTGGCCTCTGTAGCAGGGGAGCCGCCTCCCTGGGGTCCTGCCAGGCTCTGGGCCTGGAATTCTGCATCTCAATTTCCCAATCCCCTCCTGGGTCTGAGGTCTTCCTGCCTTTGGGCTGCTTTAGGTGGCGGGTAGCCCCATCTCTCTGCCTAGAGCACTTGTCTCCAGCCCCGTCTCCTTGGTGGTCCCTGGTGGTCATTAGGGGTGTGAGTCTAGAGGTGGGTGGGACCCCTACGGAAAGGCTTGGCTCCAATCTCTCCCTGGCCCCAGTACAGAGGTTCTGGAAGCTGTGAGTGGAGACCAAGCCTGCATAGGGAAGGGTGCTGAGAGCCAGCCTGTAAACAAAGCGAATAAAGCCAGGGCGGATTTCCAGGAAGCCCAGTGCAGTGGGGACCTAGGAGGGAGGCGGCGAGAGAGTTGCATCCTTTCTGCAGAGGCCGGAGGCAAGCGTCTGTCTGGGGAGCATGGGTCTGGGTTGGATCCGGCTTCCCAAGACTGCCCCATCTCGGGGCGGCCTGATATATGAGCGTGGGCCTGGCTGCCCTGGGGGACCCTGAGACACATCATGTTTGACAGCCCAGATTTCCACAGGCTTGGCCCACACTCCTACTCACATCAACAAACACAGCAAACACTCATGTGTTCGGGCCATCTCTTCATGGGCAGGTGGGCTGGGCCTCTCCCCTGCCAAGAAGCTGGAGATGGTCAATTTCATGCTATTTTTTTTTTTAAATCAACCCAAACGGGGCCAAGAGAACGTATAGGGGTTATGGGGATTGCCTTGCATGCAACCGACCCAGGTTTGATCCTTGGCACCCTATAGGGTCCCCTGAACTCCACCAGGAGGGATTCCTGAGCACAGAGCCAGAATTAAGCCCTGAGCACCACCAGGTGTGGCCCGAAAAACAAAACAAACAGGAAAAGACTTTTTTTTTTCTTTTTGGGTCACACCTGGCGATGCACAGGGGTTACTCCTGGTTCTGCACTCAGGAATCAGCCCTGGCAGTGCTCAGGGGACCATATGGGATGCTGGGAATCGAACCTGGGTTGGCCGCGTGCAAGGCAAACGCCCTACCCGCTGTGCTATTGCTCCAGCCCCAGGAAAAGACATTTTAAAGTTTCACTCTTGCAGACCTGCTGGCTCTGGGGGGCGTCTCTCCGGGACAACCCCCCACCCCGTCCCTGCCCCTGACCTCGTGTGGGGAGGAGATGAGTGTCTGCCATACAGTCGGGCCCGCTGGGGCTGGGGGGCCAGGAGACCCCTCTCCCCGCCCCCACCCCCTACACACACACACACACACACACACACACACACACACACACACACACACACAGAGCAGGGACCTTTTATTCATGCACACACCTTTCCCTGCGGTCCACACAGCGTTTCCCACCTCTGGTTGGTATGGGGGCAGAAAAGGGGCCTGTCTCTTGGGGTGGGGATGGGAGTGGGGGAATCCAGAAGGAAAAGAATTCCCAAGCTGGCTGCTCCCCAGCCACCCTCCCTGACTCCTCTGGAATGAGCTGCTCCTTTAGTCGGCCAGGAGGGGGCGCCACTGGCCCGTTGCCCTGCAGCCCCCAGCCAGGCCCACATCTGTTTCCTGTGTCTGTCTGCAAGGCTGGCACCAGCTTCCCACCAGAGAGGATGATGGCTTACGGGGGCCTGTGGGCAGCAGGGGGAGGAATGCGGGGCTGTTGCCCCTGCCAAGTCCTATGGGAGTCGGAGTTTCGTTCTTCTCTTCTCTGTTCCATGGCTCCCAGGCGCTTCCCGGGGCTGGACAGGCCGAGACCTCCCGCAGGTGGTGGTACTCAGGGCTTAATCCTTGCTCTGTGCTCAGGGATCCCTCCTGGTGGGGCTCAGGGGACCCTATTGGGGTGCCAAGGATCACACCTGGGTCGGTTGCATGCAAGGCAAGCCCCAAAACCCCGATACTCTCTCTTGGCCCCTTCGGGTTGATTTTAAAAATAATAATGAATGAAAGGACATGAAATTGGCCATGTCCAGCCTCTTGACATGGGAGAGGTCCAGCCCATCTGCCCTGTGGGGAGATGGCCGGGACACGTGTGGGTTTGCCTGTGCGCACACACACACACACACACACACACACACACACACACACACACACACATATGGCCCCAGAACGGGGCTCTTTTCTGGTCTTTTCCTTGAAGGCCCCAGCAGGACTCCACTCATATAAGGGAAGTTAGCTGAGAAAGCGTCTCTTGTTTCCGTGAACTTGTGATTTTTTCCCCCAAAGGTCACTTGATCCCAACTGTGGGGAGGTCACCCCCAGACGTCACACGACTTCCTCATTCCTCCCCCCTTCTTACTCTGCTTAAAAGCACAAACAGGGCCCATGTTCCCCGGTGAGCCCAAGTTACAAGGCAAAGGTGCTTTTAGACCTTATTTATTGCAAATACATCTTGACAATATTCATTTGAAATGCAAAACAGCTGGTCACAAAAGCACTGAGAAGCATATACTGACCCTTTGCCCCAAATATAGACATCAGCCTTTGATATTTGCTTTAGCTAAGTTAGGTAAAAATAAAAAAATAACATCTGAAACTATTATTTCTCTCTCAAAAACAAAACAAAATAACACATATCATAAAGTTGAGGTATACTATTTAACAGACGTGTGATCTCTGCCCAAACACGGCCTGTTAATGAACAGCCTTGCTCTGTGCTCTTCCGGGCCTTCCTCAGCTGGGCTGAGCTTGAGCATATGTTCCTAAAACTGACATGTTCTTAATAATCATCGAGGTTGCCATGGCAACCTGCTCGTTCTGGCACCAGGCCACCCTGGGGATGAGATTCTGGAAAGACCCGTGAGGGGCTGTGCGGAGCTGCTGGCCCTGCCCTCCCCCGCAGCCCACCTCCGGCCCCTGACGGGAACGCTCGGCCGGGGGCTCACTCAGTTCCTGAGACTGGTTGCTTGCCCTGCTCCAAATCAAGATTAAGTTTCTCATCAGTCCCCACGACGCGGGCTGCCTCCCCGGAGCATCAGCCTCTGCGCTTTCAGTGAGGTGATACGGCCCCTCCCAGGGGGCTGGGCCATTGGTGAACATTCTACAGAAAGCCACAAACCACCCTCACTTCCAGCTGGGCCCCGCCCCCGGCCTTGCTCACCCCATAGTGGGGGCCCTGACCTGGTCCCCTCAAGCACACTCACGCTGTGGCACGCTGAGTGAGACGCTGCGGAACCCCACGACAGGCAGCGGGTCAGGCCAGATCCCTACAGAGTAGACCTGCAGCCATGAGGATCAGTTCTTCGACAGAAACATTTCATTAATGCTACAGGATGAAGCGACTCCCCTTCAGACCTAGAGTCTGCGTGTCCTCGTCTCTTGCGCTTCTCTTGCAGTGGTGGGGATCGAGCCCGGGGCCTTGAGCATGCCGAACCAGAGCTCCAGACTCAGCCACCTCCTCAGCCCTCCTGGACGTTGGCCTGTTTCACACTAACTATTACAGTCCTGGCATTCACATGGGGGTTGAGTGGCAGACAGCACACGGGTGGGGGGATTAGGGAGTCACCTCCCATGGAGGAGAAAGGCCGCCGTGCTTCAGAAACGCACATTCACAGACCGTGGGCTTGAGGACAGAGACACCTAGGGTTGGGTTTATGCCGGGGCACACAGCCCAGGGCCTGAGACCCAGAGAGAAAACAAATACTTCTCCTTCATCTCAGTAAAGGCAGACAAAAATAAAGGGGGAAAACCCTTTCTCGCCGTATCTGTGTCGAGCAGTTTCGTTGCAGTCATAACGAAAACTGTGGCAGGTGTGGCTGACGTGGCCTGGTTCTCGGCAGGTGTGAGCGCCTCTGGATTTCACCTCTCCCACTCGCTGAGGGTCGCTGGATGTGGATCGCGTTGGGGAACCCAGAGGACTCATCTGAGAGTGGCGGGCACAGGCCCCACAGTCCCCTGAACCACTCCTGCCTGTCCAAGCCATTTTACAGAGTAACAACAAAATAACCAGTGCTGGCTTTGGCCGACTCAAGCTGGGTGACCCCCAGCGTGAGGCTGGGGAGCAGAGGGCCCTGCCTGCTGGTGATGAAGTCTGGACAGCCCTGACCTGCTCTGCTTCCCTCTTGCTCCTCCCACCCAGGTCAAGGCGATTTCCCCCAAAGAATCCCAGCTCAACCTGAGGCACTCTTCATTGTAATACCACCGTTTTTCTCGTGTTTCTCAGGCGTACTTGCCCCAGGGGCTGTGAACATTAATGAATTCTCAACCCCCCCCCACCCAGAAAAACAAGCGGGAGTGGTCGGAAGTGTCCTGGGCTGGACCATGAGGAGGTGGTGGTGGGGGATGGGGGGACGGGGGGGGGGGGGGGCGGGGGGCGCAAGGGAGTGGCAGTTTCCAATACCAGCCAAATGGCAGGAGGTGCGAGGCATCCTGTAAGGAGGAGGGGCAGGGTCTCGGATTCTCATAGCAAGCCTCTGGGGGCAGGGGGAGAGCATCAATTTCAAGGATTGGGGTTTGCCTGGCTCTGGTGGGAGGTTCCCAGAACCATACCCAGGAGCTGGATACCATTTCCTTTCCACATCGGGCCTTCTGAATCAGAGAAGACACAGCTCCCGTGTGTGTGTGTGTGTGTGTGTGTGTGTGTGTGTGTGTGTGTGTGAGAGAGAGAGAGAGAGAGAGAGAGAGAGAGAGAGAGAGAGAGAGAGACTTTTTCAGACTCCAGATCAAGACAGAAAGCGGTCTCTTCCCAAAACGAGGGAAATGAGGGGAAGCGCGGCCTCTCCTCCTCCTCCTGTTGTCACCCAGCTCACCACGGAGCTACAGGAAATGTGTGCGTTTCCCAGCCGTGTTTGCGCCGCTCAGCTACTGGGCCCACGCGGGTGGCCCAGCCTTCTCAAGATAAAACAGCAGTTTGTCAAAAGCCAGAGGAAAATACACTTTCGCCGGCTTCTTTTGTCTTTTCACATAAATATTATCTTCCCTGGTTACTCAAGGCTCAGTGAAAAAAAAAAAAGAAAATAAACAAAACTATATCGAGAACAGCTTCACATCTCTAGGGGCAGAGCCCCCGGGGCCAGTTCTGGGGGGGGGGGGGGGAAGAGGAGGAGGGTTTCCAGAGGCTGCTGACCCCTTGTCCCCTTTGCCTTTGTGATCACTGGGGACCGCACGTTCCCCATGTCCCTTTTCTGCTTCTCTCCTCCCAAGGCCCGTGATTACCCACCACTAACAATGCTCTCGTGCTCAGTGCAATTCCACTCAGACCAGCAGGCCCTCCTGGTGCGGGGCAGAAAGACGGGACTGACTCCCCCGGAGTCCCTGGATCCAGACACACGATGTCCAGCCGAACCAGAGAAGCTGGAGGTCAAGGCACTTGGATTTTAAAGGCGTGCAGCAGAGGCTGATGCGATGTGGGGCTGGAGGCGGTGTGGCTGGTGTGGCCTGGGGGACCTGTGGGTGCCCGCAGCGCGTGGTCACAGCTCTCAGACGCAGAGGCCTGAGAGCCCTCGAATCCCTGGGAACAGTGCTCGGGAAGGCCGGATCAGAAGCAGAAGGGCCCTTGTGTTGAGTTCCAGTAAACTGGTCTCGCGAGGCCTCTGAGGGGGGTGCCGGTCCCCCCAGCCCTGAGGGGAGCAGAATGCCCGTGAGTGAGACACGGTGGCCGTGGCGGGGGTGCCATGTGGTCCAAGCTCAGCAGGTGTGGACCCCCACGCAGCTTGCTGGGCGCGTGCCCCCAGCTATCTGGGGAAGAAGTAGTCTTTGTTGCTGATGTCATAGGGGCCGTGAGAGGGCCCTGCCTCCAGCGGGCTGTGTCCTGAGACGCCGTCGGGTCCGAAGCTGCGGGGGGGCCCCACAGGGGAGATGAGGGGGACCAGCACCGGGGGGGCCTCGGGGATGTGCCGTCCCGGAGGATACGACGGCTGCATGCTGGTCTTGCTTTCTTTCTGGGCTTTCAGCTTCCACGTCTTCTTGAACCTTCAGGGACGCACAAACATAGACACATAAACCCCCAAACCAACCAATCAAGGGGCTGAGTAGTACAGTGGGTAGGGCCCTTGCCTTGCATGCAGTGGACCCTGTTCTACCCCCAACACCCAATATGGTCCCCCCAGGAGTGATCCCTGAGCTCAGAGCCAGAAGTAAGGCCTGTGCAAAGCTGGGTGTAGAACATCCCCCTCCCCAGCCAAAAAAAAAAGTATTTAGTACCTGGGGAGCCCAAGATGGGAGGGGGAGGCAGGAGGAGGTTGGGGGTGGGCACTGGTTGTCAGGAGCTATCAGGCTTCAGCTTAAAAGGATGAAACTTATCCCACCGGCTGTTCCGTCTCCAGGACTCACATTATACTCTCAAGGGTTGGAGGCCAGGTTTAAAAACTGCCCCAAGGGGCTAGAGGGATAGTTCGGTGGGGAGGGCATTTGCCTTGCAAATAGCCAACCTGGACTTGATCCCCACGTCTCTGAACACCGTTAGGAGGGATCCCTGAGCTCAGAGCCAGGAGTAAGCCCTGAGCATCACCGAGTATGGCCACAAACCAAACCAAACCAAACCAACCACCACCAACAACAAAAAGACAGGCCCAAAGCATCATGAATGTTCTATCAGTCGAATCTACAGATGGGAAGCGAGACGTGTGTGGTCAGGAGTCTCTCCACGGCACCGAGCGCTGGGCGACCAAGGCTGCCCCTGTTTACCCACCCCGCCAAGCCCCTTCCTGAAACAGTGTCTCTCTCAGGTTCCTTTTCCTTTTTTCTTTTATTTTCCAGGCAATGCTCAGGAGTTACTTCCTGGCAATTCCCTGTCAACTGAGCCAGACTGCTCAAAGTGAGGTCCTGAGAGTGTGGTCCTGCAGGGGTGAGGGGGGTCGGGCACATACCAGGCATGCACCTTCTCCCCACGCCACTGCCCCTGCAGCAGCAGAGGGACAGTCTCCAGCAGGAAAGGGCACAGGCTGGCCAGGCTGGGGGTGGGGGTAAGGATCTCCCCACTCCCTCTGCAGCCCCCGGCTTCCTCCCTCACTGTCAACCCTCCCTTCCCTCCTCTCCACCCCCACCTCCAGCGGCTCCCCCCACGCGGGCCTACTCGCAGCAGTCCCCGTGGGCACCACCGGGGCACGGGTGACTCATGGGACAGGAAGCCCGATGCCAAACAGGAAGGAGATAGCATCTCTCTGATCACGGCCCGCTCACGCTGCGCGCAGGCCCTGAGCCAGGGCTCAGGAGCGCACAAAGTCCCCGGCCGCCACGAGGCCCAGAGACACAGGCCTGGTGATAGTGATCTTCAAAGGTACAGTCGGGCCGCCTTCCTGCAAGCGGGCTGGGGAATCTCCACCCCCCTGCCACGCTCCGAGCAGAGTGGTGGGGTTGGGAGTGCTCCTAGGCTCACAGACGTCAGATCCTTTCAGGAAGGGCCTGGAGGGAGGGTCAAGCCAATGGCAGAAACGAGATCTGGGAATTTTCCAAGGGATTCTTTTTACATCCATAGGTTATTCCTGAACTGGTTAGGACAGGAATTACCTCCCTCTTAGAGAGTCCGGCCACACGCCAAGCCTGACAAGTTACCTGTAGCATATTCGATATGCCAAAAACAGTAACAATAGTTCGATTTCCAGCATCCCATATGGTCCCCTGAGCACCGCCAGGAGTAACTCCTGAGTGCAGAGCCAGGAGTAACCCCTGTGCATCATCAGGTGTGACCCAAAAAGCAAAAAAAAAAAAAAAAAAAAAAAGGCCTCATTCCCCTGACCTTGAAAGAGCCCCCAATACGCCCCTGGGCTACGCTAGCACTAGACAGGGATGAATGGAGTCATTACTGGTGCCCACTCAAGCAAATCAATGATCAACGGGATGATAAGTGAAAAGTGATATGTGGTTAGGATAAACAGTTGAGTTGGTTTGGTTTTGGATTGGGGGCCACACCTGGCAGTGCTCAGGGCTGACTTCATGGCTCTGTTTCAGGAATCACTCCTAGCATGCACAGGGGACCGTATGGGTGCCAGAGATCAAACCAGGGTCGGCCACGTGCAAGGGAAATGCCCTCCCCACTCACTGTCCTATGCTCTGGCCCAAGAGTTAAGCATTGACTCCAAGCCCGCCATTGGTGGGCGGCCTGTATTGGAGTGATCAGTAGCTTGTAGGGTGTCACTTATGATCTCATGGCTCAGATACCCCATAGGGAGGGCCTCAGGCTGGAGAGAAAGCACTGCGGGGAGATCATTTGCTTTGCTGAGTCCACCAGGAGTGATCTCTGAGCACTGCTGGGTTTGGCCCCAAAACCAAGAAAAAAAAAATGTGTATTTTAAGCACAGAGCTATTTAAACAAGAGAAACACCCCTAAAGGCCTCCGACCCTCTGGCAAGAGGAGGAAGATCCAGTGAAGGAGCCACGCATAGTGCAGGGAGCAACTGAGGCACAGAATCTGCCTCAGGGGCGGGGCAAGGGATGGGCAATAATCAGTGCTGAATTTAAGAGATTCAGAATGATCTTGGTTATGTAAAAGTCCACAAGAAAGCACGAGACAAAGGCGCAGGAGACTCAGGTGAGGCTGACAGGTCCCTGGAGTGAGTGCAGTGGGGAGGGCACTTGCCTGGCACGTAGCAGACCCAGGTTCTATCCCTGGCACCACATACGGTCCCCCAAGCACCTCCTGAGCACAGAGCCAGGAGCAAACCCTGAACATCACCGCTTTTGGCCCCATTCACCATCACCCCCCAAAAAAACAGGGGTCCAGAGCAATATTATAGCAGGTAAGACACTTGCTTTGCACATGCCTAATCCAGGTTTGATTCCCGGCACACCATATGCTCCCCCAAAGCACTGCCAGGAGAGATCCCTGAGCACAGAGCCAGGTAGAAACCCTGAGCACTGCCAGGTATGGTGCCAAACAAACAAAACCAAAAAGCCCTACCACGCCCCCTGGGTTTGTGGGTGCCGCTGGGGGTTAGTCTGAGGCCTTTCCACGTGGCTGCCAGACATCACAGCCACACTGAGGAAGTCACGGTGGCTCCCGACACAGAGCCAGGAAGAACCCCAGAGCACTGCCAGGTGTGGCCCCCAAAACAAAACAACAAAAACCATTCACAGTGGCTGTCTGTGTGTCTTTTGGTGATTCCTCCCGCCCCTCGCTCCCATCTTTCTATTGCCAATATTCAGTCAATAACGACACACCTCGTCAGCTTTTCTCAGCCTCTTCCGGGGCTGAGCAGCAGGTACAAAAAGTGTCTGTCCTGGGTCACTGAGAAAGATGAGATTTCCTTCCGAGGCAGTGTGAGGAATGAATGACACACTGTTCTGAGAATTACTCAGCCCAAAGGGGCCTGGAAACCCGCCAGCCAGTGTGTGTGTGTGTGTGTGTGTGTGTGTGTGTGTGTGTGTGTGTACACCTGGCACCCCGCTGCCCTGCAGGGGGTGGGGAGTTCTGAGCAGACAGGGGGACTGGAGGGTGGGGAACAGGGGGGCAGGAAGGAAGAAGAGACAGCGGGGCAGTTGGGTCACCCAACACGTCTCAGCCTCCAGCTCGGCCTCTCCTACGGATCTGAGTTTCATAGTGTTTTCCTTAGATCAAAACTTCCATCGCTAAGAGAAAACTTTAAAAAAACTTCATAATTGAGAGGCTGGAGAGATAGTACGGTGGACGGTGGGGAAGGTACTTGCCTTGCATATGGCCAACCCAGGTTCAATTTCTGAAACCAAATAGGGTTCCCCGACCCCCACCTGAGTGATCCTTGAATTCAGAATCAGGAATGAGTCTTGAGCACCGCTGGGAGTGGCCCCCAAACAAAAACAAACAAAAGGGAGAAAAATAATTTAAATAGGCTAGAGAGAGAGTACAGTGGGTAGGGCATTTGGCACATGATAGACATAGGTTTGATCCCAAACATTCCATATGGTCCCCTAAGCACCACCAGGAGAAATTCTAGAAGTAATGCCTTAGCAATGCATTACTAATGGGTCCCAAACCCAAAAACAAATAATTTAAAATTCATTAAAAAAAAGACTTTATTCTTTCGTTTTTGTTTTGTTTGACTTGCTTTGGTTTGGGGGCCACGCTTGGCAGTGGTCAGGGATCACTCCTGGAGCTGCTCAGGGGGCCGGATCAGGTGCCGGGGATCTAACCGGGCTTGGCCATGTGCAAGGCAAGTGCCCTACCTGCTGTACAATCACTCAGGCCCAAAAACCTTTACTCTTAAAAACCAAAAATTACACCAAAATCTAGTGGCAGGAAGTTCCCTCCCACCCAGGCCACAGAGGTTACCCACTAGCGAAGCCACTTCCGTAGGCAGGACACCGTGAACCTGCCCCCGGGGCCCCACCTTGACAGAATCTGATAATCTTCAGCCCGGACTGAGCATGACCAAGGAGGGGGGGAAGGGGGGAACCAACCCTCTGAGTGAGTGCGCCCTTGAGGAGGGGCTCGCTGTTTCCAGTGCTGCATTGGCACTTCGGGGTGGGTGGTGGGGCCACACCTGGCGATGCTCAGGGCTCAGCCCAGGCTGTGCTCTCAGTCACTCCCACTGGGGCACCATCTCAAACCCAGGTCAGCCGCACGCACGGCAAGTGGCCCTCCCCACTCTCTCTTGGGTCCCTCTGCAGTACTTAATCTGTGATTTTTTTTTTCTTTTTGGGTCACACCGGGAGATGCTCAGGGGTTACTCCTGGTGGTGCTCGGGGGACCATATGGGACGCTGGGAATCAAACCCGGGTCGGCCGTGTGAAGGCAAATGCCCTCCCTGCTGTGCTATTGCTCCAGCCCCTAGTTTGTGACTTTGGGGCAAGGAACAGCCCCTATTCCTACAGCAATGCCAGCGCCCACCGAGCTGCTTCCTGTCTGGTCACGCTCTTTCCCTCCGATTCCAGCCTGGCTGCCGGGTTGTTCCTCCTCACCACGACTCTCCCAAGTTGGACTTCCAGGGGGCTGTTACTGGCCTGACCCCCAGTCCCTCCACCTACTGCTGTCAGCTCACAGGCACCCCCACCCCAGGGTGCCTCTGGGGTCCTCTCTTCTCCCCCCCAGTGCTCCTAGTCTCAGACAGCAACGCCCACCTCCCTCTGCCTCCCTGCCTCTGTTCGTCCCTTGCATTTCCCGCCTGCGTGACTTACTGGGAGCAGAGATGGTCCCAGCCCACGGCCGCCCGGCGCCCCACTCACCTCAGGACGATGCCAATGCAGAGGAGGGCTCCAAAGACCAGGCTTCCTCCAGCCACCAGGAACGCGGGCAGAGGAGCTGAAGCATCTTGCACTGGGCAGAGGAGGAGGCGGGGGAGAAAACAGGAGGAAACGGGAAAGGCATGGGAAGACACAGCAGGAGTGAGGGGAGGCGGGAGGCAAGGGGGATGGAGGAGAGAAAATGGTTTAGGTGGGACCCTTGAGCCTCAAAATCCTCACCCCAGTCATCTGACATGGGGCCCATGTCTGTCCAGTTCCAGAGAGTGGCCCCAGCCTGTGGAACTGACCCCAGGCTTCACCACTCACCTCAGGCCTTACTGTGTACACCCGGACACCTGCAGCGGTCACAGATGTCCACTCACACTCGAGGCTGCAACTCCCCGCCCCGCCCCCAGGGCTCCAGGGATGCAGGAAGGAGGCTGGGGACCTCCTGGAGAGAGAATCAGGGAGGCGCGGCCACTTCCCTTCTGGCCGCAGGAGACGGTCATCGGTGGTCTGTCTCCCTACTTGGACACATGCCCGGGCCACAGAGACCCCGTGGCTGCCCCCAAACTTGTTCTCACTCCACATTCAGCTCCTGCCTGTCTGCCTGCCTGTGCTGCCGCCCGGTCCCTATGTGACCCCTAGGCTTCACCGGGTCATGAGGTGGCCTCACTCCCCGCCATCCCCCTGCACGCCTCAGCCCGGGAACCAGCCATGCGCGCTCCTGCGCGCTCTCCTGATGACCCAGGACAAAGCAATCTGCCCCACTGGTGACCCCAGCAGCATCTCTGTCCTCAGAAAGGCCCCCCAAGCCAGCCAAGAGCCCACCTGGACAGAGCACCCTGAGGGAGTCACCATTCCTGCCTGCCAGGGTGGCTCAGGGGCACCGGCAGCATCTCTGCTGCTGAAGAGCGAGTGGCAGGAGTGGCAGTGCCCCTGGGTCAGCCTGGTCTCGAGGGACGGACTCTGCACAAGCCCCTCCTTCTCCACGGACAGGCCATCGGGCAGCTGCGTGCTCAGCTTACTCATTAACTGGCATTTCAACATCTTCCCATTGGCCCCTTCGTTCTCTCAGCAAACAGTGACCAAGAGCCCATCCCATACCCGCCTTTGTGCTCACCCCCAAGGGGGCAGATGAAAGGGTGGCCACGAAGCTCTGACCTCCTGGATCTCACGTCTGACCAAGGGAGAGGGACAAACACACAGCCATGTGCCAAATGACGTCAGTATGACAGGGGCCAGGATGGCCCAGCACGGGCAGAGAGCTCCATTGGCCGGAGTGTCAGGAAGGGCCTCTGGGAGGGGGACACGGGAGCAGAGACGTAACCAGGGAGGCAAGGCTGCACCCAGAGCCAGCAGCACGTGCAAAGGCCCTGCTGCGCATGGCAGGGGGAGGAGGGCAGAGCCCAGCGCCATGGGGACTACGGGACTTAAACTTTTCTCGGGAGGCAGTGGGCAGTGGAGGAGATGAGAAGCCACCAGATTCTGAACGTCTCAGGGCCCACCAAGAGAGTTTGGACACAGCATGAGGAGCAAAAGAGGAAGAGGAGGCCAGTGTGATGCCCACGGCCGGGTGAGTCGGTGGACGTGGTGCTGGCTGGGGGCTGCAGGGGCCGAATAGCAGCAAGCTCCCCTCTTCACACACTCCGGAGTCTGAGTTTTCACTTCCCTGATCGATGTTTGTTTTTGGCAGTGCTGGGGGTCGAACCCAGGGCCGCACCCATGTAAGGCAAGTGCCCTCCTGCTGAGCTACATTCCCAGACCCGGCAGGGGTCTATAATGGACATGTCAGCTAGGGAGCCTGGGTCTCAGTGAGAGAGAGAGAAATCTGGGAGTCGCCCGCCCAGGGATGGCCTCGCCAGGCGTGGGGCCAGATGAGCTCATCACGGAGCAGGGACCCCTCCTCCCAGCTGCCCCCAACACTCCGCCCGAGGTGCAGTTCCTTCCCGGGCTCTCCGTGACTCCCCCAGTGAGCTGTTCTTCCCACCCCTGCACTTGTGTATGCTTATGGACACTTTCCTCCTGGCCTCATTCACCTTTACTTGAATTGCCAGCCCTGTCAGAGCCCGCTCACTGACAGAGGACCCCTGGGAAGGTGGCCTTAAAGCCCCAAACCCCAGCTCTGCAGAGCTCAGCCCACCCCTGGCACACTGCACAACAGGGCCGGCTTGTGTCCAGCACCCAGCACCCAGCACCAGATGCAGGCAGGCAGTGCCCACCCAGGAGGGCTCCTGAGATCCAGCACCTCCTCAGAATGCGCCAGGGCCGGCCGGGGAAGCTTCCCCACCCAGCAACCTCGGGTCTGCGCTCCTGGCACCCCAGCCCTCCTGCCAAACAAGCCTAGCTGGGACCTTTCTTGGCGCAAGTGTCGGTCGTTTCTCTGGCCTGGCAGGGAAAGGGAACCAGGAGCATCAGAGTCAAGGGCTCCACATTAACATCTCCCTCTGCAATGTGCCAACCACACGCCAGCGCCCGGCATGGAATGTGCTCACCCGTGTCATGGGAACTGGTCCCTACTTTACCTCACACCCTCCCGATTTGCCTCTCACCGTGCCTCACCCGGCACCAATGAATGTGGATGTATCACGTGGGAAAAGAATGTTTCTGGGGCCGGAGAGATAGTACTGTGGGTTATGGCACTGGCCGTGCATGCAGCCAACCTGTGCTTGATCCCCGGCATCCAACAGGGTCCCCCACCCCTCCAGCATCACCAGGATTGATTCCTGAGTGTACAGCCCAGAGTAAGCCCTGAGCATCGCCAGGTGTGACACCACCGACTCCCCGAAATAAAAAGAATGCTGCTGTGTCTGCTTCTTTGAAACAGACTGACCCCGGCTGGAGTGATAGCATGGCGGGTAGGGCGTTTGCCTTGCACGCGGCCGACCGGGGTTCGATCCCCAGCATCCCATATGGTCCCCCGAGCACCACCAGGAGTAATTCCTGAGTGCAAAGCCAGGTGTAAGCCCTGAGCATCGCCGGGTGTGACCCAAACAGAAAAACAAACAAATAAATAAAAAAATAAACAGACTGACCCTCTGCTGGCTCATCGAAGAGTAGGAAAGTACCAGGCCTTACCTGGGAGGCTTGTTGTGTTCACAGGGCCCACAGGGAGAATAACTTCCTCGTTGGGATCAGTCTTGAGTGCCTACGAAAGACATCCCTTGGAGTAGAACCTGCTTCCGGATCCCACCAGCATCCACTGCTGCCTCCCCTCTCCAGAGCAGGGGACTCTCCAGCCTGGCCTCACCACTCAGTTTCTGTGCTACCCTTCACGGTTTTATGTCTACACTCGGCTCCTTGAGGAGGGGTGTCGCCCACCTGCCAGCCCACCAAGAACTGGGGTGGCCATTGGCCTCTGGTCTGTGCCAGGGTACAGAGTCCAGTCCTTGCCAGAGAAGGCATAGGCCAAATCAGAGCATGACCCAGGCCAACTCTGAGCAACGGCCTAACTCTGAATGGAGCCATTTTCCTCCCTGGAGACACCAGCAGAATCTCGGCTAACATGAAGCCCCTCTGAGCCAGCAAAGGCAGGGTTCAGCTCGCCGAGCCCCTGAACCCCATCCTGGTAGCCCGCTGGCCCCCTCACCTAGGCTTCATCCTGGGATTTCAGGGACAGCAGGTGACATGTGAGACCCCAGTTCTTCTCGCACCACCCAGCACCGTGGCCTGGTGGCTGAGCCCCCCAGCTTAGCACGTAGGGAATTAAGGACTATGGGAGGGACTGGGGTGAGCAGAGAAATTGGATTATGGAGGATTTACAAAGCAGCTTCAGACATAATCCTCTTTCCAGGAAACCATGCCACAAAGCCCCAGGGGAAGGGCCTGGAGGGCCATGCCAGGGGAGGCTGAGGCAGCAGCACCTCACACAGTCAGCCCGGCCCTCAGGCACCTCGTCCCTCCAGCCCTGGATGAGAACCGGCAGTGCCCCCGCCAGGGAGAGGCCGGCAAGATAGGGAAGCCCTGCCTGTGCCGAGTCCCTGCTCCTGGTACAAGGCCCAGCTCGGGTTTCAACCCAATTAGTTCTGGTACCAGCCATGACTCAAAGCCCCATGCCCCACGGGCCTGAGCCTGGGCAGAGCAGGCACTCACCTGCACGGACTTGGGGGCGCTGGTCTCCTCGGCGGAAGTCCTGGGTTCTGGGGAGAGAGGGAAGGACCATGAGTGACCCAACACCTGCTGCTCCAGGAGAGTCAGATTCATCCCCTTGTTCAGAAGAGCATCAGGGCAGAAACCACCAAAGAGCCAAACCCGGGCCTTGACACAGGCCCGTGTCACATACTGCCTCTTAGTATTTTCTTAGTATTTTCAGTTTTATTTAAGGATCACATATGGCAGTGCCCAAGGCTGACTCCTGGCTCTGCACTCAGAGATTACTCCTGGTGGAGATCAAGGGACTATACTGGATGTGGGGGATCGAACCTGGGTTTACTGTGTGCCAGGCAAACTGAACCACCCTCCAGCCCCATGAAGAGCCTTTTAAAATGCTTTATAAGGGGCTGGAGAGATAGCACAGGGGTAAGGTATTTATGAGTATGACCCTGTAACAAAACCAAACAAAAAGTGCTTTAGAAAATGTTGAGGGGGCTGGAGCGATAGCACAGCGGGTCGGGCGTTTGCCTTGCATGCAGCTGACCTGGGTTCGATTCCCAGCATCCCATATGGTCCCTGGAACACCGCCAGGAGTAACTCCTGAGTGCAGAACCAGGAGTATCCCCTGTGCATCTCCGGGTGTGACACAAAAAGCAAGGAAAAAAAAAAGGAAATGTTGAGGACATGATATAATGTTCTATGGAAAACGCAACAACAAAAAAAAACTATCCATCTAACATGATGCAAATTTTCTAAGCAAACATATTTCTATCATGATTTATTGAGGTATTTGATATGCCAAACACAGTAACAAGTGTCACAATGAAGATGTTACTGGGCCCGCTTGAGCAAATTGATGAACAAGGGAGGACAGTGACAGATTTATTCCATAGGTTATAATGCGATATTATTTATTAACATATTACAATATTACATATCTGTTAGATATGCACATTATAAATTACACATTTTGTATAAGGAAATCTCAGAAGGATTTTCCTTATCACCAGAGATAAGCACCACTAACATCTTAATTTCCTTCTTCGTGTTTTTTCACAATCACAAATATTTAACACAGGGCTGGGGAGACAGCCAAGGGCTCCCAATCCTCAGCCCTGTGAGGTGTGGTCCCCACCCCGAGTAAATGAAACATGAGTAACAAGTCCTCATCCATGTGGGTGGAATAAAAACACTTTCCCTGAGAAGAGTATGTGCACACAAATACTGCACATGTGCACATGCGCGCGCGCGCGCGCACACACACACACACACACACACGGGCGGTGTTCCTACAGAGCAGAAGGGCTGAGCCAAGGACGAAGCAAGAGGCTGACATGGGTCAGGCCCAGCCAGGGCGAGCCTGGGCCCAAGGCCAGCAGCTGACCCATGACAGACAATGAGTGGAATGTTCTGGATTTCAAAGCATTTTATTGTCACTTTATCATTTTCCATCAGGAAGTTAAAAATAGGACCTGGGATGAAGATGAAGATGAGGAGAGAGCCTGCCTTGGGTGTGAGGTCCAGGGTTTGAGCCCCAGCACCTCTCTCTCTCTCTCTCTCTCTCTCTCTCTCTCTCTCTCCTTTCCTCTCCCTCTCGTCTCCTCTCCTCTCCTCTCTATTTTCCCTCTCTCTCCCTCTCTCTCCTCTCCACTCTCCTCTCCTGTCTCTCCTTTCTCTCTCCTCTTCTCTCTCTCTCTCTCTCTCTCTCTCTCTCTCTTTCTCTCTCTCTCTCTCCACCACAAAACAGGTTCACAGAAAGATGCCAAACCTCCCCAAGTCAATCCGAGAAGAGCTGGGGCAGAGGCTGCAGGGAGAGCCCCACAGAGGGCACCCAGCCCCGAGAGAGAGGAGAGAGGGAACTGCCACACAGCAGCCCCGAACCAGCTGGACCCGAGGAAGGCACGCGGACTTCCGCCTCCCTTATGCTCCTCCTCCTCAAACCCGCAAAGAACAGGCAGTGGATGAGGGGGGAGCTGAGGAGGGAAGGAAAACGGGAGCCAGAGGCAGGACTGGCCCCAAGTGGTGGCCTACCCAGAGGCTCCCAAACCCAGCCTAGGCCAAGCGAAAAGGCTGCAGGGAAGGTGCTGGCCTTGCATGCGGCTGACCCAGGTTCAATCCCCGGCACCTCATAGGGTCCCCCAAGCACCACTAGAAGTAATTCCTGAGTGCAGAACCAGGAGTCACTCCTGAGCATCACCCAGTGTGGCCCAGAACAAAACAAAAACAAACCAGACCCGGCCTCGGCTAGCAATGGTAGCAGCACCTAGGGCCTCACTCTAGGCTTGGGCCTCGGCATCTTGGGTGCCAGCCCAGGGGGATGTGTCAGAGGAAAGGAACAGGGGCTGGTTCCAGGCCAGACAGGGACATGGCACCCCAGGAGTTCCGGTCTCAGGGGAAAGCGGGAATTTTATTTTGGAATCATCTCAGATTCCCCAAGAATGTTACCAGATGAAGAAACTTTTTCTCACAGAACAGATGAAGTCTTACATAAGGGGAGTCTGAGAGCATCGAGGACCCCAGGGTACCCCGAGAGGGAGATGGGCATCTCTGGGGCTTTCCATGGACAAAGACAACCGGGAAAGAAGCCAGTGAGGAGTCTCGGCAGACACCCGCCGGCCCTGGGTCCTGATGGGTCTCCGTCCCCTTCCAGCCGTATGGAGACGCCACAGTGGGCACGGCCAGGCGGGCTCTCCTCCTCTCCCCAGCATCTTTCCCTCCCCACGACGCCTCTCCTTGGCTGGCACGAGACGAGAAGGAGTCTGGGGGGAGAGGATGGGGGATAAGGAACGGGCCTGTGTGCGGCTGCAGTAGCCGTCACACCCACTCCAGTCCCCCCGGCACCACCAGGTCACTCAGAGCCAGGACTGGCTCGTGACCCCACCAGACATGACCCTCCCTAAGAGACGCAGGAACTATGGTCCTCACGCGCTGCCCTGAGACCCCGGGTGCCAGGCAGGAGCAGGGCGCTGATGCTGATGCCGCAGAAATGACCCGCAGCAGAGAATGACAGCAGCAAACTCTGCCAGCTCATTCTGCCCACTTTCCCAGCTGCGGGCTCATGTGCTCCTCACAATACTTTTTTTTTTTTGGCTTTTTGGGTCACACCGGGTGATGCTCAGGGGTTACTTCTGACTCTGCATTAAGGAATTACTCCTGGGGGGTACCCAGGGGGCCATATGGGATGCCGGGGATTGAAACGGGTGTCATGGCTGCTGCAAAGCAAACGCCCTACCCACTGTGTTATCTGGCCCCATGGCAGTACTTGAAGGAGCTACCACTATTCTCCCCACTCTACAGAGGGGGAAACTGAGGAGCAAGGAGAGTCTATAAGGTGCCAAAGTTTTGTAAGAAATAAGTGACTTTCTAGCTCCCAAAACGAGTTTCTGCTCTCCTTACCCCTCTTTATTTTACAAGTCATCTGGGAGCCAGAGAGGTAGTACAGGGATTAAGGTGCTGGCCTTACACACAGCCAAACTGGTTTGATCCCTGGCACTACATATGGTCCCTAGAGCACTGTCAGGAGCAAATCCTGAGCACCACTGGGTGTGCTTCCCCACAAATCATCTTTTGGTGGAAGAGATAGGAGGCAAAGTATTCAATCGCCTTGCAAATGAGTGACAAAAAAAAGTTTTGTCGCTTATTTCTTACAAAACGTTGACACCTTATAGAATCTTCCTGAACCTCAGTTCCCCCCTCTGTAGAGTGGGGAGAATGGTGGTAGCTCCTTCAAGTACTGCTGCAGGTCCAGAGAGCACAGCGAGTAGGGTGTTTGCTTGGCAGCAGCCATGACACCCGTTCCAATCCCTGGCATCCCATATGGCCCCGAGTTTGAATCTACAGCATCCCATAGGGTCCTCTGAGCCAGGAGTGATCCCTGAGTCTAGAGCCGGAGTAGCCCCTGAGCACCACCAGGCCTAAAACCCCCTCCCAAAACCCAAATTAAAATATTTTTAAATACTAATTGTCTCTAGATTGAACACTTTTCAGATTCAGGGACTGTGTCTCACTCGTCTTTGAAAGCTCTGTAGTTAACACAGGATGGCATCCTACTAAAAGCTATAGTTGGCAAGTCTGAGTCATGGAAAATCATTCAAAAAATAGACTGTCTGGGAGCTGGATAGCACGCAGCTGACCCTGGTTCGAATCCCAGCATCCAAGGTGGTCCCCCAATCCTGCCGGGCGTGATTTCTAAATTCAGAGCCAGGAGTAATCTCTGAGCACTGCCAGGTGTGGAGGAAGGAAGGAAGGAAGGGAGGGAGGGAGGGAGGGAGGAAGGAAGGAAGGAAGGAAGGGAGGAAGGAAGGAAGGAAGGAAGGAAGGAAGGAAGGATCAAAGGAAGGGAGGGAGGGAGGGAGGGAGGGAGGAAAAAAAGAAAGGAAGGTGGGGGTTGGAGCGATAACACAGCAGGCAAGGCATTCCCATATGGTCCCCTGGGCACTGCCAGGAGTAATTCCTGAATGCAGAGCCAGTAGTAACCCCTGTGCATCGTTGGGTGAGACCCAAAAAGCAAAAAAAAAAAAAGGAAGGAAGGAAAGAAAGAAAAAAAGAAAGAAAGAAAGAAAGAAAGAAAGAAAAGAAAAGAAAAAAGGAAAGAAAATAGACTCTCAGGAATATTACCAGTGGCTGGAGGACATTCTCCTTGTACTAACATTTCCCAAGACACGGAAATGTTCTTTTATAATCAAAACAGAATGAGTGGCCATGAGGTGAAACTGACAGATGATCGCATGAGCTCATTTAAAACAAGAAAATTCCCCCTAAGGACTGGTTTGGGTTTACTGCTGAAAACCGGGAAGAGCAACGTCCCACATAAACTACGAGGGCGACCTCAAGACCAGATGTAGAACCTTGGCCGAGGCACTCAGCGCCTCTGAAAACCTGTGGTGGCTTGCTCCTGAGAGGAACTGCTGAGACCACATGCTGAGAGCTCAGGGCAGAGGGTGCACAGTAGCCACTGCCAAAAAAACTCCCTGAGGACTGGACAGGGGCTAGGGCAGAGCACGAGCCCTGATGTGTGAGGACCTGGGTTCCAATCCTGGCACCACTG